TTGAATTTCACTTGTCCCCTAAGCCAGGGGTATCAAAAAGTATCTGTATTACCCTTTTCATCCTATTAATCCATTCATTTGTCAGTTATTCAACATCTTTTGTCTGCATAATTTCCCTTTACTAAGGCAGAGTTAAAAAAGTAGAATTATAGGTTACAGATAGTGGCTATAAAAAATGATTTTCCTTGTTTCTACTTTTAACTGAGCTTTTAGGAATGCATTGTCGCAAAAAAGAGACTATCTATACCCTCCATCACTGTTGAAGTTCTTCTTGATAAAAGAAAATATGCAGCCTGGCCGGACGTGGCTCAGCGGTTGAGCATCAACCTGGGATCCAGACGATCAGGGTTCGATTCCCGGTCAGGGCACATGCCCGGGTTGCAGGCTCGATCAATGACTCTCTCATCATTGATGTTTCTATCTCTGTCTCTCCCTCTCCTTTCCTCTCTCTGAAATCAATAAAGATATATTTAAAAAAAAGAAAAAGAAAAAAAAAAGAAAATATGCACAGTTTAAATTCCATCACACTCATGAAAAGATAAAGGTCTTGAATCAGATTCCCACACAATCAGGGATTCTAGAACTGCCTACCTCCCCATCTCTTCTGCCAAAAATTTTCACTGTAGGCTTCCTGTGAATACACCTCCCATTTCTCTCTCTCCTTTCTATGCCCCTACTCTCTTCATCCAATGTCCATAATTCTCAGAGGATTCTGTGAACAGCACATCCAGCTTTTTCTTGCTCTCTACAGGAAAGCATCAGCCCCAGGGTTCCAGATATCAAAGATCTTAGCAAAGCAGAAACTATAGGGCATGATGAGGAGATAAAGTCCCAGGAAATAAAATATAGAAGAGGGAGGAGTACAAAAGGTCTCTTTTATGACAAAATAATAAAGGAGGAAAGAAAAGAGGGCACCACAGATGGAGGAAAGAAAACCATACTAAATATCTTGAACATTTACATACAGCACTTGCACGACATGCAGTATTACATTTGAGCAATACACAAACAAGGTGGATCAATAACTAGCATTAGATGAGTTTTTAAACTAATGTACATTGCAAAGGGAAAGAAAAGTCCTGAATGCCTTTGTCAGGTAGTGCCAAGTCGTGTGCTCCATACATGTCACTCACTGATCATTCATATCCTTTTGCTATTTCAGTAGGTCAATGAAAAATGCTGTCTAAAGTAGGGTTGGTCTGGAATGGGCTTCTCAAAGACTCTGCCAGGGTTCCACAAACCTGAGCAGCCAGGATTCTAGTGCCATATGAATAGTTGCCCCACCTTGTATTATGAAGACTAGTTAACTTTTAAAGTGTCTGAAACTTAAAATGGTTTAGAATTGTAACAAATACACTGGAAAAGGGAGAGAAAGCAAGCTGTGGCTTATAGTTAATAACTGCTTCTGGAAACTACACATTCATATAAATACTTGATCAATTATGTAACTATAAACTTAGTCAATGAATGGGTATTACATACCCCCTAGTGCACACTGCACATTTTACTCTCAGAATTGCTATACTACTCTAAACTCATCAAATATCTCTATAACACTGCATATGTCTTCCCATAGCTACTACTGTTCTGACCACTTTCCTGCTAATATTTTTTATATCATTTTGCCTGTGATGAGGTACAACTTTGTACTGGTCAGCCTTATTAACTTTCGTGTGAGTTTCTACAAGTGAGGTATAGTTTTCTTAGATCCACAGAGATATAGTTAACACCTAGCGCTTTGTGCCAACCACTGTTCTAAGCACATTATAATTAATTCTTAAAAAAAGCCTATGAGGTAACTACAAGCAGCTTAGGAAGAACACAGGGAGCAAGGGAGGAGTTCACTTATTAATTTTTATTTCTAATGTCCACATGCAGTCAGAAAAATATCTGAACAATGAAACAAATTTCCCATAATTAATACTTTTTTCATATGCAATATTTGCTTCCTATCTATAGAAGATGAATTCTGTATCCCTTCTGATTCATGCACCCCTAAATTGGTTCAAATTTTATCTGCTAGTAACAGTTCAAAAAGAAGAGTAAATATAAATTTAAGTCAACATCTTTCTTTTAGACTAGACATAGATAACTTGTTGGCCTTGACACCCAGATGCAGTGGACTCAATTAGGTCACAAAAGTCTAAATGGCCACTGGAATGCTTCCACCACTCTCTGAAGGAAGTTGTTGGACTTCTTTTTTTAAACCTTTCATTACAACTATTCAGAAAGTTTCTAGAAGGTTTAAAAAAGTTAAATGGGACAAAGGTCAAAAGCTGCCAAGTATGAGAGTCCTTCCATTTCAAGAAAGGCTGAAGAGACCATATAAACTGGGAATGAACACTCCTGAGAAGGTATAAAGGCTTAATACACAAAGACCTAAAGAACCAATTAGGTCAAAGTTACATGGGATTCTGTGAGAAGTGGTAAATTTAGGATCAAAAGTACTATTGTATTTTCACTGTAGCTCATATGAAGGCCTGGGACATCCACAGCACTGTATCCTGTAGAAAACTATTTAGAAAATGCTAAAATGACATCAAAATAGGTGTTGCTGTTTCCTTTCAGGTTTTTTTGTAGGCCCTCACTGTTTCTCACTTGATTTATAATATTAGCATTCTAAGATATTCTCCAACTCTCCAATTCAACCTTTGTGTTGTCACTAACCACCTAAGTAATAGAGAACCTTCAGCTATCTGATTCCCTGTTACTCACAGAATAAAGTCCAAACTCCTTAGCACTGCATATCCACCCTTGCTCTTTTTCTAGCTACTTTCCCAGATGTGCCATTCACAGGCAGGTGCTCCTTTCAGAAGCTCTTCCAGTCCCTTACCCAACATCTCTGTCTCTGTGGTGGTCAAATCCTAAACCTACCCTGTGCAGCCCTTATTTCCTCAAAATGCCATGCAGTTTCATGCTTCTGTGTCTTTGCATATTTTACCCCACCTGGCTGGAATTACTTTCCTTCCATCTCCCCATTTCTTCTGTGTGATTAAATTAATCCTTCAGGACTTAGTCTTACATTATCTGGAAAGCTTTCCCTATACCCTCACCCTTTGGTGGGTCAGATGCTCTTTGGACACTGACTGCACTAGACTAAGAACTGCTTTACCACTTTCTAGCTGCATGACCTTGTGCAAGTTCATTCATTTCATTGAGCCCACTTCTTCATATATAGAATGTTAGCATTCATTTGATATCACTATAAAAAATGAATGTGAAAAATCACTTTGTAAACAGTAAAACACTCTGCAAGCATTAACAATTTTATCATAAGCCAAAAGAACACATAGTATTATAGGTGAATACAGTTCAGTTGACCTAAGGGTAAGATTCGTTTCTTGGTTTCCAGTCCCTTCTCCAAGGATGCCTGAAATGTTGATCCAACTTTCTGGCTCCACTAAGTCCTTGTACCTCTACCTTCCAAGGAAAAATATCTATAGTGATGTCTAGGTCATTTGAAGAAAAGACTAAGAGGAAAGCTCCTGAAAGGTAAGGGTTGTCCTTTTTCCCACCTTTCCTAATGCTTTCACAAGAGTACTGGGTTATGCACACACAAATACTCGGTAAAATAAAAGAGCTGAATGAATGAGTGAATATAGCATACCCTGTCCTTAGTAAGCTTATAGTCAGAAGGAGTGAGTGATGCGACAGATCCCATTTCAAATCTGGCCTTGTGAAAATGATAGATGCCTTCAATGTCATCTTAAAGTACAGTAAAAAATTAAATTTCCTAATATGCTTATTTTATTTGGGGATTTGACATACACTGTAATTGCTATTAGAGTGACTCACAGTTAACATATGAATGTTTTAATATTATCTGAATCACTTATGCAATTCAATGCCTACTTAATGATATTTACTGCACTAAGCCCTATAACAGTACAAGATAAAGGTAATGGACTCTGCCCGCAGATGCTAAACATATAGAAAGAAAGCTAAGTCATCAATAGCTATAATTAATACTAGGTAGAATATTGGAATATGTATGGAGTACCTAAGGCTAGTGACAATGAGGACATGTGAGTTAGGACACTGGGCTCTAAATATTAAAATTGTACATTACAAATTATTGGTGGCTAATAGCTCCTTTTACTATAGGCTACTACCTATTCTGCTACATGCAGTGGCAGATATTTCTGATAGCCTTCTTCCTTAATATAATTATACACCTAATTGTGTTGTCTAATGAATAAGGATCCATTGTTAACACACATCACAGGCATGTGCCAAGCAGTTTCAAGCCTTTTAGATGCATTATCTCATTTAATCTCCCCAACAACCCTACGAAGTAGAAATCCTATTTTGCAGATAAGGAAACCAAGCCACAGGCCTTGTAATTTTTTCAAAGTTGAGGCAAAAATAAAAATATGTAAACAAGGGCCCGAGTGACAAAAAAACCCCCCCAAAACCCCAAGTATTTCATAGAGTGTGTGGACGCACTTACACCTCTCCCAAATGCACCCGGAAGGAACCACCTCTCTCTTTTCCTCTCCCGCTAGGGATTCATTTTCTTTACCCGAGTTAATACTGAACTGTTGATTCTCGAGCAGATCCTTTCAAGCACTCTCACTCCACAGGACAGGCTGCCATTTAAATCACAGGCGTTCAGGGTAAATGAGACCGAATCAGATCCCCCGGTGGACAAAGCTCAGGTAGAACCACGAAATTAAACCTCTGGGTTGGGCATCCGTTCCTGGATCGTCTCCAGGGGATGGCAGCAGCACCGGCTCACCCAGGAGACGCTACCCGAGCAGTATCCTCTCCTCCTGACCCCAGGCGGCTTGAATATTGCCATCTGCTCGTCTACCCTTCACCTGCCGTCGCAGCCTGCAGTCTCCAAACTGCTCCCACCAAGCACCAGGCCTCAGGCGCCGCCTCCTCCGCGGGGGTCACGTCCCAAACCCACCCGGGTGCGTGTCGGTCCCGGCAGAGGCAGCCCGTCCCGCTCCCGCTCCCGCTCCCGCTCCCGCTCCCGCCCCCGGCCGGCTACTCACGGTTCCAGTACACCGGGTAGCATTCTCCTTGGTTCAAATCCACCTCGTAGAGGCCGCCCCGCACACACACCCGCTCCACGTTCACCAGCCGCTCCATCTCGGGCTCGTGCCCCGCGGTGCGCGGGCAGAAGCCGCAGACGCCGTCCTCGTCGTCCAACCCGAAGCTGGAGGCCGGGCCCGCGGGGGAGGCCGGGCCGCACACATGATCCCGGTCCGGGTCCTCGGCCTGGGCTCGGCCGCCCGTGGCCTGCAGCAGGGTCCGGAAGGCGAGCTCGATGCGGAGCGAGTCGTAGCCGATGAAGGGCTTCCAGGTCTTCTTGTCCTCCTTGTAGAACCAGCGCACCTCCTCCGGGCCCAGCTCCGTCACCACCTCGTAGCG